CCAACGGCCACCGGTTTATAGCGTTTACATTCTTCCGGAAGGCACTGATATTTAAACCTTAGGATTAAAGGTGGCCTTCAAAAAGAAGATATAGACTTGAAGAAAATTTGGAGCACTTGACCTAGTCCAGAAACAAAAAAGGCCCGAAAGAAGAGCCTTGAAGAACTCGAATAATGACCGGTGTCAAAGAAGAGTAGGTCGAGCCTAGTTTCACTCCTAAGGTTGTCTTTTAGGAATGTCTTAATCTGCAATTTTCCCTTAAACCCCGTAAGACTCGAGTTCACGCACCAGTGAGACTGGGGGAACTCGAATTAATGCCTTTTCGTGGTCGAAAATATGACATTCGATATAAGTCCTTCGTACTCAACTTGGGTAAGGCTTTCCATAAATAAGAGCACATCAGTCACGCAGGAAAGTATTGGGAGCAGTCTGTTTTCCTCAGGGGACATAAGATCGCTGCTAATGAAATAAATCAAAATGGCTCGCTTCAGAATGCGTTCTTTTAATTTTCACGACGCGCCGGTGAGGCCAATAGACCCGTAAATGCCGAACAATCATCAGGCAGAAGTTTTTAGGTTGACGTACTAATCAATTCCTTCGAAGCAGAAGGCATATCAGGCAGCTGGCAAAACGCCAGGTAGAAATGCTTTGCCAGCGTGAACGACATTCCCTTCAGAATCCCTGGGTGGACCTCCTTCGCCACAACATGCTGTGCGGTTTGTCCTGTGCAAGAGTTGGCGAACATCCTCCTTCAAGATAAACTTATTTGGGGGCCAGTCGCAGTTACGCCTTGACAACATTGGATGTGGCGATATCACTATGGCTGTATACCGACCTGTGTGGTGTTACCTGTGGACTTTAGATACCACAGTTAGGTCATTCGTAGGTTCACCGTTTCTGTCCCTCAAGGCGAAGGCGCTTGGCTTATTTCTTCGGTGGTGTCTTGAATACTTAACTAGCGAATTTTTCCGGGTAAAATCTGGTGCTCTGACTTGCGTTTGTATGTTCCATTGGCGGATTTCCGATTAACAGCGGTTACGTACCTTACAAAATTCCCGCAAATCTTCTCTTTCATGTGGTTACCTTTCTCAAGAATAATCGAGACCCTGTTAACAGGAGACTCAAATCCTTTTAGGCGGTTTTTGGTTCAACCGAATTCGCGCAGATTTTTCTAGGACGAGCGTTACTTCGGCTTCGTGAATTTCTTGGTCAATGATCCTGCATGACTTTTTTTACTGAAGCTGGTCCCGGTTCTATCTGGTAAAGGAAGTTAGGCAGTTCTGAGGGGCCTGCACGAGAAAAGTTTCGAATCCACGTTTTAGATTCCGGCTTTTTATTCCAAAAGTCAGCACACAATGGAGATCTAATTACCACTTGATCAACGAGGTTTCTTCCGTTGGTGATAGACAGATCCAAAAGGGATGGTAGTGGATATGCGCGATAGCTGGTGTGAGAGGACGTTTTGAGTCCAAACGCTCCATTGAATGAATTTGATCAGCACCGACGCAAATTATCTACTAGACTCGATGGGCTGGAGGTCCATCGGATAGGCCTTTGAAGCGGTAAATTCACCTTCAAGCAAGAGCTGTGTGGGGAGTAAGCTGGGGAAGTGTCGCTCAAGAGTTTTTATGAGGGGCCAGTCATCTTCCGGTGAAACTGAGCGGCAACTGTTGGCCACGCCGAGAAGAAGAGGAAAGGTCCCACGCAGCGGGATCTGAATCTATAGGGCGTCGGAGAGGACAGCTGAGATGGGCAGGGCCGCATTTAAATATAAAACAACACAACCTGACCGCACGTGTTTTGAGTTAACTCAAAAAATGGAGTAGGCGTGTGTCGAGATCTTATTGGTGCACTGTTGATGATGACCATAATGCAATTCAGAAGTTACATGCACTAATAAAAGTTTTTAGTACAGTTGACAATGGTGAGATGACACACGAATAGAAATAAGTACAGTGCAAAATGGGAGCAAGTCAAAAGAGGAACTTGTCGTCTGTGAGCGTTTCTTCGTGAAAGTCCGGACGGTGGGAACGTGTTTTCTCCGCAGTATGACCACTACACGTGTTCCCTAATTGTCGGTGGACTTGTGAAGAGTTGTTGATTTCCTGCTTCCTGCGCGCGCACAAGACTGTGTGTGCTGACTGTATTCGGATCCCCTGTATGTAGGTCCGCTAGCATGTACGTGGGCATGTCAGCATATGAGTAGCTGCCACGCCCACCAGACGGTGCAGACAATCGATGTCCGATGCGTCACCCTAATGTGACGTGTTTCTGAGTACAAAAAAGGACGAGCATCTTGATCCAGTGAGCAGCTGTGAGCTGAACAGTCGGGTGTGTGGATGAGTTGGTAGCTACAACCGCGTCAGAGGCAGTCGGTGTGAGCCAGGTCTCTGCAAGTGCGATTACGGACAGCCGTCTGGGGCAAGCTGACTGCCTGATATTGCGAAGTTTGTTTAAAAAACCGAAGCAGTTTGTGGACAAAAATTTTCAACACAATCTCTGCTGCGTCTCAGAATAGCAGATATAATAACTGTTAGCTGGGTTTGAGTCTAAGGCTTCAAAGGGGCCTCGGTGGCGCACTTATCTGCTTCCGAGAACTTCACTTCATTTGCAGAAAAAATCCGCCCACGCGAGCTTTTGCAATTTGGGAACGTATTGTTCCTCACGTGGTTTAAAACTTCGATGGCTGCTACATGTGCCTCGCGAAATACTATCTTTTGAACTGCTGGATTTGCCGTCCAAGGTTTTGTGGCGAACACTCATGATGCAGTGCCTGAAAATGTATCCCTGTGCGGGTTATTTGGGTTATTTGTGCGGTAAACAGCACCACAGGGCGGTGTCAATTGGGCGACCTTCCACGGTGGTACGTTTTGCGGATGGCTGTGCCCTGAATTCAGCCAGTAGCTCTACGGTTGGGCGAATTCTGTGTGGATTATTTGATCGCAGTCGCTTTCCTGTTGTGTACGTGGGAATTTTCGGTAAATTCTGCTGCGTTTGTGGTTTTGTCTACTTGGGTCATGGGTGACGAATGTGTCTACAATCAGGCAGACCGCTTTTGAGGGCGTAGAGCTAGCGGCCAGTGGCTTCACATTTTCAGTGGCGGTATGATTTTTGCAGTAGTCCCTGGCGTCGGGGCAAACGCCGAAGGTTGGTCTGTCGGTAGACTCACTGTTTCTCCCCATACAGCCAACCCACGCAAGCTTAGAAGTTGTGATTTGGGTGTGGAGCTCACCAATCCGAATTAGGTTGGCCTTTCGAAAAATGGCAGCCTCCTGCATGACTCTGTACGGCAGCTGAAGAGGAATCAGTGGCCAGAAGCCAAAGTGCTGGCTTGTTTCGCTTTTCGCGCGACCTCTCTTCTTGAGGCGATTCACAGCTAGACTGTGTGAAGATACCATCATTAAGCAACTATGCCAGTTTTGTTAGCGTGGGTGTTCTGGAGAACGCCCTGCCATCAGATCAGTCTACACTTCCTCATCCACCTCATCCAACAGGAACGCTGCGACAGTTCTCACTGCCGCATCAGAAAGTCGGGTAAACTTCTCCTTTGGAAATGGAGTGGATAGCACTCGGTGATTGTTCAGGGGGGAGGTTCGTCACTCACCCTCGTCCAGGCCGGCTTGTTGTTTGTGTTTGCGTCTTCAAGAGCTTCGTAAACAAGTGGAAAATTACCCTCGAGCAACCCGAACAAAACGGAACATTTGCACTGGTCTTTCCTACCCAGAAGTTGACAATTGGTTTTGTTCCTGAAAGACGTATTCTTGGTTGTTGAAAGCATAACACCCCTGAGGTACAGGCGGTTCGGGAGGTTAGATGGTTGATTTATCTGGTCTTGCTGCAAAACCGTACATTTAATGTACTACTGGACTTGGTAGGCATACCAATGCATTCCACTTCTTTCATTCGATCCACTTCGCCCACATCTGTTGTCGCCCACCTATAGATGTACAGGAATGTAGCGTGAGATGATCCGGCTCATGATTGAGTATGTAGTGGTATAGCTAACCAAAAAGCTACTTTGCCAAGAGTGTGTGGCATAAAAATAAAAAATATTAACGCTAGATTGTGTATACAGTCATAAGTAGGTTAGATGAGACAGACTCTTTACCACAGTTCGTTGTTGACCCAGGTCAGCGAACAAACAATAATCCAATCCGAGGGTCTTCTTTTGAAAGGTTAACACGTATAATAGATTCCGAGGATAGTCTGAAATGTTCTGATACCAGAGTCAGCACATGAGACTCGCGAATGACCGCTGTAAGCGCCAGCGAAATCAGAAGATAAAATCGCGGCACGTGGCCATGTTTGTATTGCGTGAAAGTTTACAAGTGCGCGTTTTTTGTGTTTTTTCGTATCCAAACGAAAAACGGTTATGCAATTGACAAAATACGCAATGCTATAATGGAAGCAAAATAAAGGTACAAAACATCACAAGTGGGTGCACCGTAGAAGCGCAGTGCAGTGTGACAAATGGTTACACGCACAAGTTATGTCATAGTAGAAGATCCGACAAAATGACACGTGGTGGCACCGTAAATAGACCAAACAACGCAAAATTCCTTCACAAGCTTGTACGAGGAAAAATAATACCAAATTCGAAATACCGCGTTCACATGGGTGGAAAACTGGAAGCTCATGAGCCGAAGACCAGTATGCAAGGTTTACGTTACCAACAATTACACATAAATCAACCAGTGAAAGACTGTACACTACACAGTCCCATTGCTTGTAACATTATCCATTTCAAGAACCCAACATTCTCGCGAAATCACTTTTAGTTTGCACCTAATGATCGGCGTTTGCACTCCCACTTTAGTAGCATAATTTTCGACCACCGAAATGCATAGTGGGAATAGACATCAAGCTAATAAACGTCTCGGGGTTGAAAAGAAAATGTTTCGTTTCCCACCTACTGACAGCCATGACGAACCGTTCTCAATAACATTTGTTTGACTTGTTCATTTGCCTGGGTGTGGAAGTTTCGCTTTCGCGCTGGCGGAATGACGGACGCTGGTTTCTTCAAGGTAATGTCGGTTTAGCACATCGCTTACCCTAGGGTCAGGGCACAAGCGCTGAACAAGATGCGAGGTTTGCTGATAAAAAGAAAAAACTGATGAAGACAATGAAATTCGGCGACAATTTGTCGCAAAAAGTATGTGAATCTCCGTTCCGAATCGCCTTGACCTGCCCTAGGTGGACATGGCCCGCGTTAAGCTGGAGTGTATCCGCCCGTGGATCATCAAACGTATTACAGAGCTTCTGAATTTCGAAGATGAGGTCGTTTGTGATTACGTTTTCAACCAGCTGGAAGAGAGGGTACGTCCTAGCACTTGCTGCTATTATGTGCTGTGGGAAACAAGCGTAAATTTCCTACACAACCCCTTGGCTCGAGCGGCACGGTATCGACGTCAGCATCAACCGTCAACTTCACGTTTCAGTTGAACCCAAACTGGACAGGTTTCGACAAACACTCTGGTTTTGCCGGGAGACACCCATACCCCAGCCAATCTCATGATGTTAAGGGACTGAATGTGCTGCACCAGGCCGCCTCACGTTTCACTTGATACGACACTTGAGACATCGCGCCTTTGCTGACGACTGAACTTCGGTAGACCAGAAACCCTACAACAATTGTCACGTAGGCTGTCCCCTTGGTGGACGTACTGGCACTCCTTAGTCGGACTGTCTAACCAAAATTTGCATGTATGCTGAGCTCGTGTTGCTTAAGGTTCGCAGGGGATTTTGGATGGTTCTGTCCATTGGGAGTGGATCGGCATGTGTGAGTGACGTTCAACGTCCTACGGAAGATAATTATTAAGTAGGACGGCAGGGAATCCAGAAGGAAATGTGAAGAGACGGTATTGGTAGCCGCATATTTGCGTTCACCCGCTCCCCCCCCCATGCAGCAGATAGGGCTGGTGTCGGTATGCAGCTTGTGATATAATGTGAGGGCACTTTTTGTTTCTTGATTTTATGTGGTTTGATCTACCGAAAACCCCAATTAGCATTTTTAACCAAATCGTTTGTTCAAAAGCAAGGCAGTGATATTTCACGTATAACCGCCGTCTACCATTCAAGGAACAATCGTTCCGACCTCCACTCGGGAGGTTTAGGATTTCTATCCTGTCCAACCTAATGGGAGACGGTAGGCACTGCATGGTTATACTTCATTGCTCCTCAGTAGTTTACCGAAGTATCCAAGCGATTAGGTCTTTTGGTGGTAGGTACAAGTATGAAGTGCGTGAAATAGTAATGTAAATATCTTGCACCGAAACCTTCGTGTAGGTCACCGGTCATCCACAAAAATAGTCCCACTACTGCCGCCATACAGGTAGCACACGTTGGATCACTTGAGACTCAGTTACGAGCCAAGATTGATCCGTAGTCTGTCTCTGAATCGTACATTGTGCGTCGTCATTGGCAGAATACACCGGTAACTGCGATGTGACTGATATTTGGTTGCCCGTTACCCCTTCGTTGATGTCATCTGTTGTGTCGCACAATCGGCAAATGCAACTGCCAACATGCGCAAACTGATCAACGAGGTCAGTTTCATTATGGATTTTCAGGAAAGTACAGGCAGATAGAAAACACAGGTCTTTCTATTCCTCGAGATGTAACGTTCACTGTCGCTCCTCAATTTTTCATCACTTACTGTCTCTGCGTAGTTATCCAGCCCTGGCTCCCCAGTCACTCTGTGAACGGAGCTAGAAACTTGGCGCAGCATGCATCATGTATACAGTTTTTACAGCTGACTAGGATTCCACCTGTAGTTTGTTCGGTAAATGATCACCAAACAGTAAAGCAATCCCCCATTGTTCAGGTACAATAGTTTCTCTCCAGACGCTATTTCACTACCCAGATTCATGGGTTCTTGGGGTGTGCACTACGACAGTGTCAAAGACAAACGAGGAGGCGGGAACAGTCGTAGCTATTTCCACTTTTACGAAGCTTTTGAGTAGTTTGTTGTACACCTCGATCCGATCGGAGTTGTGTACATATTTGTGAATTTCAAGTACATCCCTTTCTGTACAACAGTATTAAGAAGAGCTAGTCTATCCACGAAGTCTAAAGGTCTGTAAAGTTGGCAATACTTGTATCGCTACTCAAGCATTTGATGCAATGTAAAAATATGGTAAATACAGCCCTTTTAGGTCGAAATAATGGTTGTTGCTCTCGAATTTGTGCCTCATGTGTTCAACATTAGGGAACACCATTCTCAAATTTCTACAAGCAACCTAGTCAAAGTGGAACACGGGGATACCCCTTCAATTTTGAACAACGTCGGAGGGAGCTCATTTGGCCGAGCGGCCCAATGGCGCCTCAATCCAGAAGGGCGTATTAGTACTTCAACTGAGCGGATCCAAACTTAGAATACGATTTAGTCAGCGGGTCGGAGGGCCAACTAAACTGTTGGAAATATTCTGCCGAGCGATCTAGACACCTTTACTATGCATTAGGTTTCCAAGATTATCTTTGCTGGAACCCTCTGAGGAAGGCCTTTCAGGTCCTGTCTTTTGGAATAGCTGGAACAGCTTGCGTGCACTCTCAATCCCACTGGCAGGCTTCGTTTGTTGTCCTTTCTGGTTCTACCACGCCTCTGTCCACACACAGGCTGCGTTTGGACTATCGTCTAGTCGAGCCCGAGGAGATCGATCGCTTCGTATTTTTAAGTCGCTTGTTGTCCTGGCGAGATGGCGTTGGTATATTTTTGTTGGCACATTTGACCTGTATATTTTGAATACATTTTACTGCAATAGTTTTCCTAGTTAGAATTTGCCTTTCTCCCCGCGAACAGAGAGGGAACGAAGTCAGCAGATTCGCAGGCGTCTGTTGAGATCCATCAACCGGCCTAAGCATGTTGTATTTACAGCGATCACCTGTTCCCATTTGAAAATAGTGCATTGGTATCATTCATCAGTTCCTTCAGGTTTCAGAATCGCTTAGCTGTAGCACCCTTCCGGTGCCTAGCTGCCATGCCAGCCGGTGGAAGCACCAGGGCTGGGATACTGCCAGGTTGCCCAAGCCTAGACAGGGGAAGTCGAGTGCCAAATGTCGGGTTCGAACCACGGACCTTCCGGTAGGTAAATTCGCGCTCTAACCATTTGGGCTATCTCGCCCAGAATAATACCGTGTCTCCCTCTTACGGTGCCATTAAGTACACGTGCCAAGAGCCACCCGAGACGAGATTGGGCCCAGCCCCCACGTATAGCTCCCATCCCCTTATTTTCCTTATCCTGGTTGGATGAAGGTGTAGCAGTAGGAACGATTGCACTTTAAGTTGGAAAACTGAACTGGATTTCCGTGTTTTGTATGTGATCTGTTTATTCCACTTAGACGATCTCGCACAACTATTATTGGTGATATCTGTCGTGCCTTCTGATGTGTTCTCAATGAAGTGTTCATGTTTCGCTTCCATACAGCGGCGAGGACAATACAAGAGCTCCATTCGTTGCATCTTTCGGCTGCATGAGGTTGTGGTTTCCCCGAGGACGTTAATGTCTTCGACTCCATCCTTCCTTTAGATTCACCCCCAGTTTGGATGGGATACTAACGTGGTGGCAGCATTCCGCACAGTATGCTGTGCTGTAACAACAATCTAAATTCATGATGTCGCTGTGAGCCCGGAACCGGTTGGTAAAAGTGGTTTTGGGACGCCTGTTGGTGGGCAGTCAGCTGCCTGTGGACATGTTCGCTGCGCACTGATGATGTCTCGAAACGTTTGCAAGTCAGTTGCTAGGCTCGGCGAGCAGATTAATGAATGCGCCCCACGAAAAACGCTATCTGTGAATTCTGATGTGGCAAGTACCATTTTTAGGTGCCATTATTCCGCTTCAGAAAGTGAAGATTAAATATGGTCCTCCACAGCAAACAGCGTACGTATCCTGGACTTGTGTAGCTTCGTTTGTCAGCAAGCCTTTGGAGTTGAGGAGATGGCCGGGTACCATGCTATAATAGGAATCACGAAAAACGCTTGCTGAGATCTTGGCGAGATAAATCAACCTTCCCTGTGTGGTAGTTTCGGATATGGCTGAGGTTTGCACACAATAGAAGTAGAGCGATTGGGTAGTGCTAGCTATGTGTTCAAGACGCCCGAGTTTCTGGGGGGCTGCTCACGTGCCTCCCTGTCCAGCAGATCAAGTGCCTTCGTAAAATTCACGAACACGGGAACGGGTCTGGCAGATATTCTGTTCTCGGTGTTGTTTGGAGCTGACGTGCTGAATAGATTAGGTCAAGCATGCTGCATTCATCACAAGATCTGCGTTGTTCTTCATAGACATTTTCCGGAATGTTGGCGTCCAGTCAGCTGAACATAGTGCCTGCAAGCAGTTATCTGCCGCACAGGGAAGGCTTTCCTTATCTCTTTCCTGTTGGTTTCTCTTCGGAACTATCGTGAAACATTTTCAGATTTCCAAACTATGTAAACCTGACGAAAAATCTCTGGCTTCCGATATTATTTCACTCACTTTGAACGCTTCGGCAGGCGGGACGTCTCCTTCCACATCAGTTGACTGCCTCGAAGTAAAATCTTTGTTTGTCGAATAAAGAGGTTTATCCGATCTGAACTAACTGAGCAAGATAGTCCACATCCATACTGGACGGTTTTTAGGTAATATTTAGCCATGTGCTTTCCAAAGAGCCCTGCATCTTACGTTTTATTTGGCTGTCGGCCGGTCCAAATATTCTCGATGGATTACCGGAGCTTCATATTCACAGGCTTGAAGTATCAGTCGATTATTAATTGAGCAGCTGGATAATGGGGATTGCTACTGTTTTCGAATGAGTCAAGTGAAGTAATCGCTTCCAGTTGAAGTTTAAGTATAGTTACATTACATAGATTTCGATTAGCAGTGAGTTAATTCCTGTTTTCTCATTACGCACCTAGGCAACTTACAGCTGTATCGTCATATGACACATTCGTCTTATTTTCATGCAGTTTCTATTGTTATTCGCAATTTTAAAGCGAGTTTTGATTGGATTTTCAGGTTCTTCGTCATGACCTCCTTCCGAACGTGGATCCAATTGTTCGAGCGACGCACTGAGTGCGCTGCGGTATCAAATTCACCTTTCTAATGTCTACTGCGCTTTATCTTTAATTCATCTCGGTTGTGCCAGTTAAAAATTGTCAAACCCTTTTTTCATCATTTAGCATCCTGATCCGAAGGAAATTCAAATCAACATCACTGGCTTTCTGAACAGTAAGAACGCCAGAGTCTTCCTCACCGAACTGTGGGATCTTCTTCTCTCAGCAATGGAAAACCCTGAGGGAGTGCCTTCTCTTCTGCTGGATGCTAAGAAGGCTGAAATCCTTCAACGCCAGGTATTTATATCGCATTTTTCGTTGCATTGATTTGCATCATTTGATTACGCATGTTGGGCTTTAGTTGTTACAATTTCCTCCATTTATTCGAGTCGACTGCTGGTGATACTCTTCGTGGGTATTTCGCAGCGAAAATTTGGTTGGATATATTCTCCAAGCGATAGTTTTTTTTTTTACAAATTCGTTGGTTTCGCAGCTGAACGATTTCTTCGAGAGCTTTTGTGATTTGTTGCTCTATTAGTGCACTGGCTATGAGTGGTCATATCAAGATTCGAGTATATGCAGAAATAACAGTTTATACTGTGGTAGATAACAGTTTACAGTTACTAGGTGAACCATGTGTAATACAACTACAATGCAGAAATGAATCAAGTCGTTTGGGCATAACCGATAAGAGTTTGAGTGGAAGTTTGGATGCGGGACGTGTCCTCTTTGCACTCCAACTGCTACACGTGTTCCCTAATTGTCCATGGACCTGTGGAGTTTCGGTTGCCTGCCTGCCCTTTGCACGTCTGTTGCGCCAAGTTATATGCGTATTTGTGTGCAATGTGGAAAGAGGGGTTGCCACTCCTGTTTGACAGATGAACAAACGAAAACAACTTCAACTGATGTGGGTGAAGATCGTAAACCTGGCGTATGGTGATGGTATTATTCACTTAAACAAATTGGATGGGAAATAGCAATGTACTTGTCGGTCGGGGTTGCCAGTGGGACAGGATTTTGTCATGTGATTTGTGTTTGTGGAACAAACGAGACGCGTCATCTAGTGAGTGCAGAAGTACTAGGTAATTTAAGCGAAGTCGATTGACGTAAAGAGAGAGTCATCGCCACAGCCCTGTCCAAGGACTGAAAAGTACTTATCCAGAGACTAGATCTACCCAAGTCTCGTTGGTCGCACCCCACGGGTCAGGCGAAAACTGAATTAGTGATCGGTACTTACCACACCTTCCTATCCTTGTGCTCCAACGCCTGTACTTGTGTGAAAGTCTATGGGGAATATCCCCAGAGTTTGTCATCATAAGTGATTTCCGTCGGGGCTCACCCCTGTCACTTTTTCCAAATTCGTCATGAAATTATCCAAAAAACCCTTGACCTATCGGGTACCCCCGTATGAACATTTCCTCTTTTAGCATCCATTCGGACAGACTACACCAACCTAAATAATGCTAGCATGCACATCGGTATGCGCTTCGTGCTACCAATGTGCTAAACTGCAAGGCCGAGCGCGAACTGGTAAAGCTGGCTATGGCATCAGAGCCACTAAAGATGGAAAAATTTACTTATCTGGGCAGTTGCATCGGCATTGGTGATGAAACGAACTATGGTTATTAGCTAGTCGCCTAAGGGAAATGATGTGATTTCAATATGCGAATACGCGAGAGACATAGTCTATACTTCCAAGTACAAGACACAAGTGCGCTTGTCAAATAGATCAAAGTGAATGAAAGGGCATTCGGTTGATATTTTGACCCCGATTTGCAAATTGGAGCTGAGGCTTGATGCAAAAAATATACACCCAATCCAATTCTGATACATTCATATTGAAACATAATCTGGCCGACATTTCAAATTACATCAGGTAAGTTAGATGAGCAAAAGGATGAAGTCGATTCCTTCCTTGATGATTCGTTTGGTCATTCAGCAATGCCTAAAACGGTTGAGCACTCTCGATTTAATGCTACTCAAGCCTAACATATAGGCCCACTGAGTAAAATGAATCCGACGAAAACCCAAATCGCTTACATCAAATCTGTCGCATTTTATCATGCTGCAGGGATTGTGGCTTTTTGAGGTGTCGTTTCTAGAGTTCGAAGGTCTATTCGTTAACGGAAGGTTATCGCGCGCGTTCTTCCTTCAGCGCACTTTTTCGTTCAATGTATTCACCTGAAAGGATGGATTAGTTGAGCAACTGGCAGAAATATCAGGAAATCCATTTCTTTCTATGCTGTGTTTTCTTACTGGACCAGTGTGCAAACCTTGACTTTTCGGTAATCACGCGGTTTGTTGGCTGATGAAGTAATGAGCTATCCTCCATCTGTGTGTACTGTGTGTGGTGTTTTGGTATCGATCTAATCACATGGGTGAACGTTCATGATACAAAACCTTGTGATAATTCGACGGTGCAGTACCGCAGTTAGACACCCGTAACCACATAAAACGCACCCAGAGACCAGCAATGACACGAGGATTGGTACTTCTACACCGCACTGTATGCGCTCACGGGTTGGAAGCCCGTACTTGGGGGATTCAAGAATATTCTCATCATAGACCATCATCCAGTTCAGTCACGGAAAACTCTTCGACCACTTATCAGGATCAGGAGATCAATGAGTCCCGCCCACGCTTCAGTTATTCATGAAGCTTGTGTGATATTGTATTCAGTGAGTTCGGAGTTGGCGAGTCTGCTTTGACAATGACAATGCAGGGCATGAATCTGGTCCACAGTACCACCGCTTACCAAAGTGGCATCACTCGGACAGTTTAAGTGAGTTTAATCACGCATGCCTCCTTGGTCAGCTCGGATACACTAGTTGCTTCTGAGTGTAGATAAGTCAAATATATATTCAACAAATCAGTTGATCTGTTTTGTGTCCATAAGGTGTTTGGGTCGTCACTGGACCTTACCGTGGTGTGACGGTTTGCGCACCTCAGCCATCCATTGAGCTATACTGGAGAGTGTCCCCCGACACTCACAGAGTCTCTCATACCAGGTTGGTCAATGGTTAGAGGTCTGACGAACACAGTCTCATGGCCCTCCAGGTTGGGGGTTGGGGCATGTGGCGACGTGCTCCGTAAAGATGGTTATGTACATTCATTTCCACCCGAAGACCGCTGCCTTACGAACTGGCTTTGGTCGAGGACCCTCCTGTCTAGGTCTGGGCGCCTTGGTAGTACTTCAGCCCACGTACAATCATGAAATTTACATAAACAAATAAACACATGCCACATACACCGTCGCGCGGTGTCATCAGCCGGGTTGCCTTGCTGCGGGTAGGGGAAAACATGCTGTTGCTAACGACTCCTTTCTTTTTCACGTAGTTTTTCTTCTCCCAATCCCATTAATAACTCCTTGTAGGCCCGTCAGTTATGACTGATGACCCCATTCGTCCTGCAACTACTTTACGGGCAACGTCGGCGCGTCATTCGGCGACGATATCCTCAGACATCTCGAAATCACTCTTCAAACCCCGATACCCTGTTTATCTGGCCGCCTTCAGTGGCCGCACTCTGAAGCCGGCAGGTCAACAAGCCGCTCATGCTTTCACATCGCTTGCTTGGCATTGATGTGCTCTGTGTATCGGGAAAAAGAATTCAAGATGCCAGCACAGTGGTTGCGCTACTCCCTCCACTCTTCACTCACTTCCGGGTACGCACCTCCGGCGACCCAGAGGCTGCTGCGGCAGGATGTGCAAGGGTTAGTATCCTCCTAATTTACCGGGCGGAAGGATCCTTGTCTGATTGGATACCCGTTGCGGTTCGTCTAGCAAAGTCTGTGAAGGAATCTCGCAAGAGAGATGTTGATCGATGTGCGTTTGTCGTGTCTGCTTGCGCCTCAACTGACTGTAGCTCTGACACCATCAAAGACAAGTTTTATGAATGCCCTGTTGTGGTGAACTGAAGGCCCAGATATCCTTATGGTTGCTGGAGATCTGAATGTACAAGTGAACGAGATTAATTCGTCTGAAACTCAATTAGGAGTTTTACACGGATTGAGCTCAGTACTTACGGATAATGGTGAACGATTGCTTGCGCTCGGTGCTGATCGCAGACTGTTTTTATGCAGTTCTAACATCTGAAGTAGCCGAAGTCGTGTGGCCACATGGTGTCCTCCAACGGCGTGCCGGCCGCGTACTCAACTCGATCACATTGTCACCAGTCACCGATGGCGCGGACCAATAACTGATCGCCGGTCGTTTTGGAACACATTTGCGGATTCTGATCACGCACTCGTCCAGATTCGCTTCTCCGTTCGTTTTCCAGGGGCGCGTAAGGTGCGAAAAAATCGCCTGGCAGCAAACTGGTAGAACCGGGTGTTATACGAATTTTCCGGAATCGTCTCCTTAAGTCTCCCAGATGCTCCGCAACCATATATGAATTCATACTGGGACGAGATCATCAACTCTTTTCACAGTGCGGGGAGTTTCGCTTGTGGCGCGGCGCTATCAGGCTCACTCAAGCATTGGACAACAAACCGAACAGTGGCGTTGGAGAAATATCCCAGCGGGTCCTGAACACAACTTGATGGGACAAACTTCAGACGTCAAGTGAAGGTGAACGTGCGACCCCATCATGAATTCCAGTGAACACAGAAAGCCAAGGAAATGGATAAGGGGGCTCAGAAGACTGGGATTGCCCGAGTGTGATTTCAGTCGGTCCGTGCGACCGGTCCCATGACATGCAGTCACTGAGCACGCCGCTTCCATCCAGAGTGAGGCACTCGAAGTTGTGAAGCGTTTTATATACCTTGGAAGTTATATTGGTTCTGATTGTAGTATGATTGTTTGTGTATCAGGCTACAGTGTGGGGTGCTTTATCGTATGGCCTATTCGAGCAGCGGAACTGAGACGTTTTCAGGTGTTATCGTTATCTCAAGACCATAGCTCTTGTGGGTTGGTGTCGGTGAATCCATGACGGGGCAATTAGGAAGCAGGTTTTCGATTGTGCAGCGGGTACTTTCATTGAAGAATGTGCCCCGCACCAGATGGTGCGCTGGTTAGGCCCTGTCACGTGCAGGATACGGACCAAACGAAGGCATGCCCTGATTGGTCAGAATGCCACCCAATCTGGATCGAACATCTTTGACTCGGTGCTTCTAGCCCCCTCACTCAGATTCTAACACGACCTTGTTAAACACTCTGTCATTGCCCGGGGGCGAGATGGCCGAAGTGGTTAGAGCGCGGATTACTAACCTGAAGGTCCGCGGTTCGAATCCGACCTCCGCCACTCGACTTCCCCTGTCTAGGCTTGGGCAACCTGGCAGTATCCCAGCCCTCGTGCTTCCTTCGGGTGGCATGGCAGCTAGGCACCGGAAGGGTGCTACAGCTGAACGCTTTATCTTTTTATCTTTATCTGTCATTGCCCTAAAAGTACGATTGTGATAATTTTCCTTTGTCTCCATAAAGAGCTGTCTAGAGCTACCGTGCCTTTCGATATACCATAGTGGGCGGAGCAGGAAGCCAAGAACCGACAAAGAGTTACACGACCGTCCAGCAAGACAACTGGCAACATTACGTACTATGTACGTAATGTGGTATTGGGTCTGTCACTGAACAGCATTCCTGGATCCCAAATTTCCTTGAAACCTCTCAGTTACAAATGCGATCAACAATGTTTCACGCTCCCTGTTCCCGATACGGTTGGCCGATGTCACCAAAACGCTGGGCCGTCCAATTCAAGGTTCATGTGGTCCCAAAATGGTTAGCTTAACACTTCACTCCCCCAAGAAGGCTATCCAGGAACCCTGAATGCTAGAGTAACATTTTTACAAATTTCCTGTCTGCTTTCTGCCTTGATGCTGACTGATTGGTTCCTAAAGCACACTGCTGACCTCGAGAATTTTAGTCACTTAAGGAATCTTGTCCAGCCAACCTCATTGCCTGATTTCAGTGATGATAACCTTTAGGTGTGCTACGATCTCATGGATCCTGTAGAGACACGCATTCCTGNCTTAAGGAATCTTGTCCAGCCAACCTCATTGCCTGATTTCAGTGATGATAACCTTTAGGTGTGCTACGATCTCATGGATCCTGTAGAGACACGCATTCCTGCGTCACCAAGTATCGGCGGTGAGCTTCGAGTGTTTCCTCCACCCCACAAACATCAAGTTTGAAGCTTATGCGGTAACGGCTGTTAATAGGTTTTACTATATTCATCACTACGTGTGATGTGTCAGGCAACTCTGTAACTTATGCTTTGTGTATGTAGGACCAACTTTTTCGCTCGTCAGATATAGTTAACCTTGATGTATTTATCCTTGCTTACCTATTTTCCCGGTGGATTTCCATGTTTTTGGTCAGGGAGAAGATAAACGTGTACAACAGGAACTTAGTCGTCAAGAAAACGTACGTGCGAAGAATGCCGCGGCTAACAATAAAGCTTCCAACATTTCCGTGGCCTGCAACCAACTCGTACCTGATACACAGCTAAATGGTTCGTCACAGCGGATTTCCTCGACTACGCCCATGGAAATCGAGGAAAGCACTGCAATGGGGTCTGGTATAGTCGGTAGCTCTTCACTGAAAGCTCCTAGTGAGTTATCGTATTTTGTTTATTTTGACATCACATATACCACCCGACTAAAAGCTCTCAGTTTAGCGTGGTGATCGGGTTTCGGTGCTGCGGTGATTCCGCGGAGTACACTGGCTGGAATTCAGTTCCTTAAGTTCAGCCATGCCAGGAAGGCCAACAGGAAACAGCCCGGCGAAGAACAGCGAGCCCCTGTACTGCGAGAAGCCGTGTTACAAGGTGGTCGAACGGTAAAACTTTTCTGTTCTGTGCGATAAGATTGTAAAGGCGGTAAAGCGTTTCATTCAGATCACCAAAGATTCTATATTGATTGAAGACGTGTTGCTACCTTCCAGGAAGAACGGGTTAGAAACATCAGCTGTACAAACTTGTTACGGTTCTGTCACGCAGCGAGCAAACAATATGATATTGCGGATTGTGGCAATACTCTATCCCCAGCTATGTTGCTTGATCCAGACTCCTAGCACGGCGAATAGTAAGAAGACGAAAACCTCGGACACAAACTTTAATAATCCAACAACACACGATCAACAGGCGATGCCCGGAGCTTCCGAACCCAAGTCAGTGGAAAGAATGGTATCCTGTACGTGGTCGGATTTAAATTTCCTTGGAGTATCAAGAGGCCATTGATTTTTCATATTTTGACCTTGAAGATGCCGGGAGTTCGCTAGCACACATAAAAACACAGCGTTTTCTGGGGGATATTGTGTTGTGTCTTCATGTACGGTAGTGCAACTCTGTGTCGGTCCCTGCTTCCTGCTCCGCCCACTATGGTATAACAAAAGGCACGGTAGCTCTACACAACCCTTTATGGAAGCAAAGGAAAATCATTACAACTGCATATATATAGGGTTGTCACAGTGTTCCACTAGGTCGTACCAGAATGTCCGTGAGGGGGCGAGAACCGTCGAGTCAAGGTGCTTGACTCGGATTGGCTGACATTCTGACCAATCAGGGCATGCCTACGTCTGGCCCGTGTCCTGCAAGTGACACATGCGTCCAAATGATGTGATGTTCGGTTA